ATCGGTACAAGAGAAATTAATGTTTTTAACACTTCCTTTCTGTCAAGCACCTTGCATATATTATGTAATCCAATCTTACATCAGTATTCTAAAGATAAAGCAAAAGGACAAAAAAAAAATCTTGCCCAAAACCCATTCCCTTCCCATTTACTTTCTGTGGGCTTACAGGAATAAGTAAAGTGCCGGAAGGAGGAGAGACTGTGTTAACAGAATTGCCACACCTATAACTTCTAAGCAACATCCCAGAACTGACACACAGAATAGTCACATTCCATTCAGTTAACAATCTTCACAATGCATTTATTTTACTTTTGCCTCCTCTAATATTCACAAAAGTCACATACCCAGCCTTCTTAATCTTAGGAATCTGATATACAGTCCATTGAGGACATAGCTTAGAACTGTACTTTCTGCATATCACCACCAGACAAGATTTACCAAAATGGAGTTTTACTTCCTATCATTTACGTTGTAAAAACTATAGACTTGAAATATAAAATCTTAATTACATACACCACTCCTCCGTGCACCAACATGCTGAGGGCCCTGCTTCAGGTGAGCTTTCTTGATGGACGATATTCTGTATACCTAGATGTGCCAAGAGGCTGAACTGTCCCTGAGGACATAGAAATTTCACAGTTATGTTCATCTTCTTTACCATAGTAACTGATATGGTTTGGCTATGTCCCCACCCAAATCTCATCTTGAATTGTAGCTCCAATAATTCCCACATGTTATGGGAAGGACTGGGTGGTAGGTAATTCAATCATGGGGGCAGTTTCCCCAATACTGTTCTCATGGCAGTGAATCAGTCTCACAAGATCTGATGGTTTTATAAGGGGTTTCCCTCTTCATTTGGTTCTCATCCCCTCTTTGCCTGCCTCTTTTTTCTTCGTAAATTACCCAGACTCAGATATGTCTTTATCGGCAGCATGAAACCAGACTAATACAGGATGAAACCAGACTAATACATTTTACTGTTTATGTGTGCCATAACACGTCGTATACCTTAAACATATACAATAAAAGATATTTAAAAAAAAATTCACATATTAGAACGTCCTAGACCTCACTCTATGCAACTCAACCTTTTTGCTGATTTCAATTTGTATTGTTTTGCTATAATAAAATATAAATGCAAGTATGACACTTTCAATGAGTTCTGTGAGTCGCGTTAGTGAATTACTGAACCTGAGGGTCTAGTGAGAAACCCCAAGTTTGTAGTCAGCTGGTAAAAAGTGAAGATGTTCTGGGAACTCCCAAATTTGTGGCTGGTGTCTGAGGTGAGGTCAGTGCCCTGAGTCTGTAAAATTTAGCCTCACTCCAGGTAGTTAATTTTAGGAGTTGTTTTCTGATCTCACAAAAGTAGTATTGGCTACAGTGACTCTGACTCATTGAAACATGTGCTTTGGGAAGAGAAAGAATAAAAGGGTGAGAGATTAATAAACATTGATTCCTGAATGGCTACCTAGTCCCTAGAGACCTGTGATATAAAATTGCAGCTGTGCAATGATCAGTTACGATAGAAGTTGAGGATCTCTGTTTTCTAAATACTAACTCTTAACTGATAAGAGTTAAGCAATGGAATTTTTCTTTTTCTTTTTTTTTTATTCTGTTGTTTTAAGACAGAGTCTTGCTCTGTTACCCAGGCTGGAGTGCAGTGGCACAATCTTGACTCACTGCAGCCTCCATGTCCTGGGTTCAAGCAATTCTCCTGCCTCAGCCTCCAGAGTAGCTGGGACTACAGGCACATGTCACCACTCCTAATTTTTGTAGTTTTAGTAGAGACAGGGTTTTACCATGTTGACCAGGCTGGTCTCTAACTTCTGACCTCAAGTGATCCACCCACCTCCGCCTCCCAAAGTGCTGGGATTACAGGCATGAGTCACTGAGCCTGGCCAGCAATGGAATTTGGAAAAGGGAGATCCGACTCCTAAGAAAGCTGGCTCCTTGTATGCATCAGGAAACGCAAAGTAACAAGAAAGAGGAAAATATACAAGTCCTTGTTTATTGCGATCCATAATAGCTAAAATGAAAGAAATAGCAAGCCAAGCTTAGATTCTGGCTGGTCTGACTACTGCCCCAGGACTCAGGGTCCTCACAGAAAGAATGTGTTGGGGAAGATCCTGATGCTGGATCAAGTTCAGATTCTGGCCCACCCGATATATAGCCACTAGCCTCAAAGCTATTTCCAAAGGGAAATGTTATGCTGAAACTTGGGCAGGGAAGAAGACTGGTGTAGTTCCTAAGAAAATGGGGAAACATGAAAAAGGTGAAATAAAGGAGAGAGAGAAAGGATGTCAGGGATCTCATCCCAGCAGGGTGGAAATCTTTAAATGCTTATAAAGAAATGGAGTGAATAAAGCAGATGTTCATGGGCCAAAAAAAGTTCTCAATGCAACACTCCTAGGGTTTGGGATGGGAGCCCCTGCTGTTCCTCCAATAATGAAGGGCCAACTTCATTCACCCTAGTTTGAAGGAAGAAATCTGACCTCAGATCACCTGCCATGATGATCCCACAGTCTAATCAGTACAAGGATTGACCAAAGGACCCGAGTTCCTTATATGAATTCAGGTCACTGATGCCAGAAGTCATTTCAAAAAGGGTAAAATCCCTTTATGAGGTAAGGGAACTCAGGTACAGAGAATGTTTAAAATCATAGAAGATGCAAGAGAGGCCGGGCGATCATCCAAGACTGGCCAAAGCCCCAGGTGAGCCCTCTTTCCCTTCCACATGCCATGACCTTAAGCACTGGAAAACACAGTTTTCAATCCATAGTTTGCAGAGGAACAGAAGCCATCTCATTTAATCGGTAAGAGAGTTGAGAAAAACTCATTTACCCTATTGTCTTTGTACAAATAGAGTTTGGGCAGAGCTGCGATGAGCATTACCAGGGAAAATGTAGGGGGGCGACAGAGGTTCCAGACAAAACACTACAGGAAAAGAAGAGTGTGAAGGAATCAATTCAGGGGGAAAATGCAGCTCAAGAAAAAGAACTGTTTTGTGCCATAGAAGAATTTAAGAGAAATACTTTAATAAGGCAAAACCTCAAAGTTGCAAAGGTAAAATAGAAATATGTGAAAAGAGAGACTGCAAAGTTAAGGAAATGAACTGAAGATCACAACACCATATCTGAACTGATAAAGTGGAAAGGAATTATACTGAGAGTTGAGCTTCAGACATAGAGGAAAGACCTGCTATGATCTCAGAGAATGCAGATGAAAAAGAAAAATCAAAGATGCGGGAATTAGGCAAGATAATATATGGAGAATCCTAAAGGACGACTGACATCTGTGAGGTAGAGAACCTAACACATAGAAAAGCTATTTTATTATTATAACAGGAAATTTTCCTGAATTGGATCTGCAGCTCAAAAGGCACAGTGTCCCAGGAAAAGTGACACAGAGTGACTGAGACACAGGTATTGCCTGGTTAAAGTGCTTAACTTCAAGGATGAAGAAACAATTCTTCAGGCATACATTTAGATGTATTTGTGGAGAGTTTGAGAAAATTTTACTGGCCTTGATCTTCTTCAAAGTATCAATAAGTCAACAGGAGACCTTTGCATGGCCACAAAAGACTGAGGGCAAGAAGTTTGACTAGAATCTCTCTCCAAGGAGATCCTCAAGAATAAAGACAAGAGGCAAAAGTTTTCAAATATGAAGGGACTTGAGGAGTGAAGCACTACTGAAAAAATTATTTGATCACAGCCATTCAAGGAATAAAACGACTGTTAGTTACCAATGAATAAATTTAAATAGTCTGTGAACTCATTCCTGTAATCCTAGCACTTTGGGAGGCCAAAGCAGACAGATTACTTGAGACCAAGAGTTCAAGACCAGCCTAGCCAACATCATGAAACCCCATCTCTACAAAAAATTAATATATACAAAAATTAGTCGGGTGTAATAGTGCATGCCTGTAATCCCAACTATTCAGGAGGCTGAGGTACAAGAATCACTTGTACCTGGGAGGTGGAGGTTGCAGTGAGCCAAGATCATGCCACCACGCTCCAGCCTGGGTGACGGAGTGAGACTGTCTCAAAAGAAAAAAAATTAAATAAAGAATTAACACTAAACAACCATGAGGAATACGGTTACACTACTTGGCAATTTACAAATAATAAAATAATTGGGAGATAGGAGATGGTAGAAGAGCAAGATGGGAGAATTCACTTCCTTGCCTTCTTTTTTTTTAGCAGAAAATAAGTAAACACTGTCTAAAAGTGAGACACGATGTGAGCAATAGGGATTACTGGAATATACTGGAGTGAATGGGTGATTATTCACTTGATTATTGTCATGTGAAAATGCAGGCCAATGTGATTCTGATGAGACATCATGTTTAAAATCTTGGTTGATGATTCTAGATGACAGGGGGCTTCTAAAGGATTTTAGGCAGAGGAGTGACACATAAAGGTTGCATTTTTTTAATTATTCCCCATGCCTGCTGTGATATGAGCCACTAGGATTTATGGAGAATTTGAAGAGAACAAGATGGTGGTGGGAAAATCAGCTGGGAGCACTGGACCTGCTGTCCAGGTGAGAAGAGGAGGGCGATGGTGAGTTGGCTGGACTGTGTTGATCGGGGGTTAAGGAGAGAGACGAGTCGAGGTGGACTCCCAGCTTGCAGCTCAGAAGGCCAGGTGGCATTAGCAAATGACACAGAGAGCACAGGATGAGACAGATCCATGATCAAGAAAATGTGACAAAATGTTAGTAATTGAGGAATATACACATACACACACACACAAACACACATATTTGGGGCCTAACATTTGATGTGAAACAATTTCAGAGTCACACGTTTCAAGAGTTAAAAAAAAAAACTCTTCTACATTCTTCACCCATATTCCCCAATTATTAATACTTTATCACATTTCTTTGGTCACATATCTGTCTATTATCAAGTCAACTTACTTTTTGTTGCATTTCAATGTAAGTTGTCTAACATTTTCGGTACACTTTGCCCAAAACAATTCAAAACGCATACCATGAACTAGAGTCAGTATTTGTTTTTATTATTTTGAAGGAAAATTTAAACATAGTGAAATGCTTACATCTTTAACATACTATTGAGGAGTTTTGATAAATATATAAACCCTTGTCAATATATAGAGTATTCCACCACCCCCAAAACATTTCCTAAAGTCTCTACCCATGGCCGTCTCTACTCCACCTGGAAGAGCAGAGTTTGCACCCCTAAAGATACTCACAGCATAGACTGGGCAGGGGCCAGCATCTCTGGACTGACTGCCCATCAGGGAGGGCTTAGGCCTCAGCCAGCTGCTGCAGCAATGACAGAGTACCATAGAGGGCAGACAGGGGCATCTTCACGGTTAGATCCCAGGTTGACCTGGGGCTATCCAGCTCCATCCTCAGGCCACACTCCTCCAGCAGGCCATAGGTGATGGCCAAATCCTCACTCTGGAGTGGGGCAAGGAGCTCAGGCTTGAGGGTGAAGGGAATGTTCCAGGGGTATCTGAAGTTCGGCTCCAGGATGCTCCTTACCTAGAAGAAGGATGATCAGATTCTACAGACCAGCCTTTAAGATCAGGAAAAGAAGGCTTCTACCCCAGCAGCCAGGGTCCCATGGAGGATAATAGAAGGAACAAGAGCTTTGGGATCCAGAGGACCAGGAGTAACATGCTGGTCGTATCCTATGATCAGCAGATCAAGTTATTGGAAATCAGATTCCATGTCTGTGAAGGTGAAAATAAAACTCCCCTTGTAGAATAGTGGTAAGTGTTTTTATTTTTAAATGTATATGCACATATGTATGTATATGGTATATGCATATAAAGGTATGTATTTATATATACATATACTTGGAGAGAGAAAAATAGAGAAATTAGCAAATCATAACAGTGTAACTAGAGCAGGAGTGATCAGCAGATGGTAACAGTGTAACTAGAGCAGGAATATTATATCCCCTTAGACCTTAAAGTCCTGTACTCCTATGTGGCTATTTTAGACCTGCTGGGGAATGCTGCAGGGATTGCCATGGAAACTGAGACCCTCCTGAGGGAGACTCTTACCCACTGGGTCAGGTCTCCAGAAGGACACTGCAACTAGGGACTTCCCAGTGGCCACCCTGGGATCAGGACTCCTCTCTTGGCATAAACCTGTATCATCTTTCTTTCCTCAGAATCATTCTTCTTAACTCTGGTTTCCTCATCCCCTTCCCTGAACTTCTGGTCCCTGGGACGTCCTCACCAGCTCCTGTTGCTGAAGCAGGATCCTCTTCTCCATGGAATAGGCCAGCAAATCGTGTTGGATGACAGTCAGCACTGAGGGTGGAGAACATGTGGGGAAAGACAGTAGTGAAGAATCCAGATTTTTCTTCCTACTCTAAAGCAGGAGACCCCCTGAGAGAATAACTCTAAGACAGAGGAATAAACCCATTAGACTTGAAGATCAAATTCTCTGCCCTGGGAAGTCCTTGAGAATGGTCTCCAGGATGCTAAATAAGAGGGACAAAAGGATGGGATTCAAGGGCTGAAGGCTGAAATCACCCACCTCCAGTGATCTGTGGATGAACATGAGCTGGTGACTTCCTAGACCTTAAATTCATTCTGTATCATATGGCAAGTTATCACAGTGAGCCCTCTGATCTTAGAGAGAGCTGTGATGTAAGGACAAAAGACCATGGCATTCAAAGGGCTTTGGAGATGTGGCATATAACACAGCTTTTTGGGGGTTCTGGGGACCAACCTTATGACTCTCCCGTTCTTCCCTTTAATTACTCTTACCCATTATGGCTTCAAAGAGATAAAGAATGGCTTCCTTTGATTTAGACAATGCATGCTCTGAATCCTGTTGAAGTATCTTTAGGATGGAACTACCAGGGCCAGCCAAATGACCTGAGCTGTCCAATTTCAGCTATAGAAGACAGGTACTATTGTTAATAATAATACTAATAACAGTAATGTTATATTATTTGCCTGTGTCTACTGGTGATAACCAAAGGGTAGGGGTAAGGGTTCTCTACCTCTCCCAGGGGATTTCAAGCAGCCTCAGTATGTGGGGGTTGACACATCCTGGCCCAGTGTGCCTGGGTGCCAGAGCCCCCAGTCTTTCTCATCCCCCTGGCATCTTGCTTATTCTTCCTCCCCCATGTAACTTGGTAGTCATAGCTCCCAAACAATCCCATTTACAGCTTTTACCAGACCTATGCAACTGTGGAACGCCTCACCATGTACATCAGGTCCTGCAGATCCTCTCCATCTCTGAGCATGGCCAGGATACTAGAGAACACGACACCCTGAACATCCTTTGAGAGCTGGGCCAGTGCCTCTGTATTCTGGGAAACCTCCTCTTGTAGATGCTTGAAATCTGTTCTCAGGCATCAACACCAACCAGAAAGTGGGGACAATTCTTCAATTAGAACATCCATGGAATGACAGCCTGTTTGCATATGCGCCGAACTCCTCCATCCCTTTCAGCTGCTAACCAAAATTGTCTCTGCTGATGGCATGCTTGAGCTCTGGGAACAAAGCTGTCACAAGAAGCTAAAAAGATGGACAATCCAGTGCTCTCAAAGGAGGAAACAATACTGGGAGCAGAGATTGAGATTCTGAAATGACGTCATCGCAGGTGGAAGAGAATGACAAAGTGGTCATGTCTAGAACATGTCAGGAATACTGTAAAATCTAGCATTGGGCTTTAGAGGCAAAAATCCTGGGTGCTCTGGAATCAGTTTCCATGTTTGTTAAATGAGATGTTATGAGTATTAAAAGAGTTTATGTAGGCCAAGCATGCTTGCTTATGCCTGTAATCCCAGCATTTGGGGAGGATGAGATGGGGGGACTGCTTGAGGCCAGGAGTTCAAGACCAGCCTGGTCAACATAGCAACAGCCCATCTCAAAAAAACAAGACAGAGTGTATATATGTAAGACACTTGGCACATATAAGCTACCCTTATTATCATGCAATTTTGCCAGAATCCTCAATGTCGATGAAGAATGAACCTCAGGCTGCATATTGGGGCTCTCTGTCTCTCCTAGGAGGCACCAGGTGCCCTCAGGGTAATCTGATTGAGATGAGGGATCACTGGATTGGAAGCTCCAAAGAGGCAAGAATTTATGTCTGTTTGGTTCACTGCCATAATTTTCAGGTTCAGAATAATGCTCAGTGTCCATTAAGTCCTCAATAAATGTTTGTTTCATGAGCAAAGTGTAAATTTGGAAGTGGACCTCAGTTTCTGACTGGCATGAAAACTACCAGTTTGGGTGCTCAGACTTGCAGCTCCCACCCAGAAGCCCCAAGGTCTCCCTTAATAAATACTCACTTTGCCAGAAAGGTTCTTCTATTCGTCCTGGAATGAGAATCAAGTCAGCATCTCCCTTCCTCATCCCCCACCAAATTTGCTTTTGAGATGTTTTGAAGGATTCTGCTCTCCTACCACTTCCTTCCCCTTGCTTAACTTCTTCCTGCCTCCATCCCCGTGCATCCCTCCATTATCTAGCCTTTCTGAACCCTTCCCATTCCACATGACCAAGGGCCAGGCCCTAAGACAATGGTGGCAAAGGCAAGGCAGGGGAAATCTGCCTTACTTACCCCTGTGTGCAGGATGGGATCCCTGCCCTCACCTCCAGCAAATTCACACTCACCTATTGGGAGGATGTCACCTAGTTTGTATGATAAAAAGAGAAAAGAAATTCCTCACCAAAGAGGCTCAAATACTGGATTGTTCCGGCCTTCTGCCCTGCTTTTCCTGAACCCCTCTTCTCTATCTGCTCCTGCCCTTATCCCAGGAGGCCAGACCCCAGGATCTTGGGTAGTAGCAGCAAAGGCAATCAGGTGGGGTTTTGTTGTGCAGATTGTCCTGGGAGGGGAGGGCCAGGTTCCACTCACTTAGAAAATGCAGTTGGCGGATTTCCTCACTATAGTAACGCAGTTTCGCAAATTCCTCTGGAAAGAGAAAGAAAGGCTTTTACTCATCAAACGTTAGCCTACCCCTACTTTTCCTCTGCTACTTATTTCCCTCTTGGTCTCACCTCTAACTTTTCTCTCCTCCCCTTTTTTCTCACATGAACCATCAGTTCGGTTGAAAAACTTCCCCAGGGAGATGGATCCCCAGGCAGCCTCTTTCCCCAACAAACTCACGCCTATCCCAATGTTTAAATGAGAAAGTCTGGTTTCCCTGTGGCCCTGGGGGATAGTAACTGGGTCAGAGGAAGGGGACAGTTGGAGATAATGGAGGAGCCTGACTGGGGGAGTGTTCTCTGTGGGTCTGTGGCAGCTGTGCCCAAGCAGGGCTTTTGTGGGAATCCAAAGGGGGTCAGGGATAAGTAGTGCCTAAGTTCTAGGCAAAAAAAAAAAAAAAAAAAACTGCCAGAGGAGGATGAGCAAGATGGTGCAACAGAAGCCTTCATGGTTCATACAAACACCAAACACCAAATTTTAAGAACTATCTGCACAAAGAAAAGCACCATCACAGAACCAAAAATCAGGTGAGCAATCACAGTACCCAGTTTTAACTTTATATCATTGGATGAGGCTTTCAAGAGGGTTGGAGAGATGGTAGTGAATGACCGTAGCCATTCCTCATTCATCGCCACACTGTACCCTAGCCTCTCGGAAATTCTGTACACTTGGGAGAGAGAGGGCACAGTGACTGTGTAGCATTACATTGAACTCAGTGCTGCCTTGTCATAGCAGAGCGCAGAGCCAGGCTGAGCTCATCAGTGCCAGTGCACAAAGGGAGCATTTGGGCCAGACCTAGTAAAAGGGGAATTGCCCATTCCTTCTTTCAGAACTCAAGTTTCCTGGTAAGCCTCACTAATGCCAGCCAAAGTGCTCTGGAGTCCTAGGAGAACTTAAAGGTCAGTCTAGGACATGAGGACTACAATTTTTAGGCAATTTCTAATGCTGAGCTGGGCTCAGAGCCAGAGGACTAGAGTGACACATGACCCAGAGAGACACTAGCTGGGGTCGCTAAAAAAAAGGTGCTTGTGCTACCCTGCCCTTAATCTCAGGCAGGGCAGCTCACAGCAATGAAAGTGTGTCATTCCCTTTGGTTAAGTAGAAGGGAGCAAAGAGCACAGAAATTTTGTCCTGCATCTTGGAAACCATCTCAGCCACAGTAAGATAGGAGACTGGGCAGAGTTGTGAGGCCCCCATTCCAAGCCCTAACTCCTGGATAACATCTCTAGACACCCCTGGGTGAAAAGGGAACCTACTGCCTTGAATGGAGGAGCACAGCCCTGGCAGAATTCATCACCTGCTGAATAAAGAACCACTGGGCCCTAAATAGCCAGCAGCAGTATCCATATATATGTAGTGGGCCTTGGGCTCTGAGATGTGCTGACTAAATGTGTGACCCAGCACATTCCCAGCTGTGATGGCAGTGGTAAAAGACTCCTTCTGTTTGAGAAAAGCAGAGGGAACAGTAAAGGAAGCTTTGTCTTGCATCTTAGGTACGAGCTCAGCCACAGTGACACAGTGTACCAAACAGGCTCTCGGGTCCCTCCAGACCAGGCCTAGGCTCTTTAACAGCATTTCTGGACCTGCCCTGGGCCAGAGGAGAGCCCACTTCCCTAAAGGGTGAGACCCAGGCCACACAGCATTTACCATAAGCTGACGGATAAGCCCAGTCTTGGGCTGTCAGCAAACATATGCAGTGACCTGGCAGAGACTCCCCATGGGTCAGTGATAATGTGGCCACAGAGAGAGTTCCCCTGCCTGTGAAAAGGGAAAGGAACAGTGGAAAAACTTTGTCTTGTAATTTGAGGGACAGCTTAGCAGCAGTAGAGTAGAACATAAGGTAAATCTGTGAGGTTTTTGACTCCAATCCCTAGCCCCCAGACAGCATCTCTGTACCCACCCAGGGCCTGGGAAAACTCACTGCTCTGAAGGGAAGTACAAAAACCTCACTGGCCTTGTCACCTGCTGATTGTAAAGCCCTAGGGCCTTGAGTGAACACAGGTAGTAGCCAGATAGTGGTTACAGCAGGCCAGGGGTGAGACCCAGCACTGGGCCGGCTTCAGGTCTAACCCAGTGCAGTGCCAGTGGTAGTAGCCACAGGGGTGCTTGCATCACCACACTCCCAGTTCCAGGTGGCTCAGCAAAGAGAGAGAGAGACTCCGTTTGTTTGGGAGAAAGTAAGGGAAAGGACAAGATTCTTTGCCTGGAAATCTAGATAATTATTCTGGATCTTATTCAAGGCCACCAAAGCAGAACCTCTACGAATCTGCAACAACCACAGAGATACTAAACAGGGAGTCCAACTCCCTTTGAATACCTGGAAAGCCTTCTCAAGGACAGGCACAAACAAGCCTAGACTAAGAAGACTACAATAAATACCTAACTCATCAATGCCTAGATATCACAAAATATCTACAAGGATCAGGATCACCCAGGAAAACATGACCTCACATTTCTATATGCCAACAGTGAACACTCTAAAAAAGAAATTAAAAAACTAATCCCATTGATGATAGGGATAAAAGTAAATACCTAGGAATTAACCAAAGAAGTAAAAGATCTCTACAACAAAAATTATAAAACATTGATGAAAAAGATTAAAGAAGACACAAAAAAATGGAAAGATATTCCATGTTCATGGATTGGAATCATTAATATTGTTAAATTGTCCATACTCTCCAAAGCAATCTATAGATTCAATGCAATTCCTATCAAAACACCAGTGACATTCTTCACAGAAAGAAAAAAGAATTTTAATATTTATATGAAACTACAAAAGACCCAGAATAGTCAAAGCTATCCTCAGCAAAAAGAACAAAACCAAAAGAATCACATTACCTGACTTCAAATTATTCTGCAGAGCTATAGTAACCAAAACAACATGATACTGGCATAAAAAAAAAAAAAAGACACACAGACCAATGGAACAAAATAGAGAACCTAGAAACAAATCCATGTGCCTACAGTGAACTTATTTTTGACAAAGGTGCCAAGAACATACAATGGAAAAAGGACAGTCTCTTCAATAAATACTGCTGGGAAAGCTGGATATCCATATCCAAGAGAATGAAACTAGACTCCTATTTCTCACCATATACAAAATCAAATCAAAATCATTTAAAGACTTAAATCTAAGGCCTCAAACTATGAAACTACTAAAATAAAACTTTAAGGCAACCTTCAGGACAATGGTCTGGGCAAAGATTTCTTGAGTAAACACCCCACAAGCAATGGCAACTAAAAATAGAAAAATGGGATCACATCAAGTTAAAACGCTTCTTCACAGCAAAGGAAACAATCAACAAAGTGAAGACGCAACCCACAGAATCAGAGAAACTACCCATTTCTCTACCCATTCGAGAGGGATTAATAACAAGAATATTTAAGAAGTTCAAATGATTCTATAGAAATAAATCTAATTATCTGACTTAAAATGAGCAAAAGATATGAGTAGACATTTCTCAAAAGAAGACATATAAATAGCAAACAAACATATGAAAAGCTGATCAACATCATTTATCATATGAGAAATGCAAATCAAAAGTACAATGAGATATCATCTCACCCCTGTTAAAATGGCTTATAGCTAAAAGACAGGCAATAACACATGCTGGGGAGGATGCAGAGTAAAAGGGGTTCTCAAATGCTGTTGATGGGAATGTAAATTAGTACAACCACTCTGGAGAACAGTTTCCTCAAAAAACTAAAAATAGAGCTACCATATAATCCAGTAATCTCACTGCTGGGTGTATATACCAATAGGCAGGTAATCAGTATACCAAAGAGATATCTGCACTCCCATGTTTGTTGCAACACTGTTCACATAGTCAAGATTTGGAAGCAAAATGAGAGTTCATCAACAGATGAATGGGTAAAGAAAATATGACACCTATACATAATGGAATACTATTCACCCTAAAAAAGAATGAGATCCTATTATTTGCAACAACATAAATGAAAGTGGAAGTCATTATGTTAAGTGAAATAAGTCAGGGAGTGAAAGACAAACATCTTATGTTATCACTTACTTGTGGGATGCAAAAATCAAAACAGTTGAACACAGAGGGATGCTACCCGAGACTGGGAAGGATGGGGAGGAATCTGGGGGATAGATATGTATGGTTAATGGGCACATTTTTGAAAGCTAGAAAGAATGAATAATACCTAGCATTTGATAGCACAACAGGGTGACTACAGTAAAAATAATTTAATTGTACATTTTTTGAAAACTAAAAGAGAATAACTAGATTGCTTGTAACACAGAGGATAAATGCTTGAGGGAATGAATACTACATTTTTCCATGAAGTAATTATTGCACATTGCATGTCTGTGTCAAAACACCTCACATACCCCATAAATATATATACCTACTATGTACTCACAAAAAAAAATTTTAATAAAAATAAAATAAACCAGACTTAGGAACTCACCATCTTGAAAGGTGCTCCGTTCATCATCATCTGTGATGAGAATGGCTGAATGGAAAAGAAGTTCATTAGGAGAGTTATATCTGCCTGAGTCTTTCCCATACCCTATACCTGGACCACGGAACCCCTTGTATCAAAACCACTGGAATGCTGTTAAATCTGACCACTGGCCTCACTCTGTGTCTTCTGAATCACTTTGAAGGGTGCCCTGGAACCTGCATGTAAATATGCACTTTGGGTAATCATTTTGCCATCCAACATTTAGAAATTATCTTGATAGAGTAAAGGAACTCAGCTTCCTTTGACCTTCAGGAGGTTAGGACTGCCTCCTGCTGCCCTTTTCTTACTGACCTGCCTTACTTACCACTCCCAATCTGGCATCTTCTTGGATGATTTCACATTCCATGTAGAGAAATGTGCTGAGGTCTAAAACTCACCTAACACTAAAGTGCAAGTGTTCAACAGCGGAAAGAGTCCATGAAAAAGACAAAAAGTTTGTATAGGTGTTGAAAAGCTTAGAGGAAATGAATGAATGAAGTTAGAGGAAAAACTAACCTCACAGCAGTGACTGCAAGTCATGTTCTGACTACTAGCAGGGAGAGTGGCACTCTTCTATGTCAGACACCACATCTGTAAAATGGAAATGAGACCTTCTCTCCGTAGTTGATGCAAGGATTGGAGATACATGTCTAGCAATGCAACTGACTCCAATTCATCTTCACCCTCTCCAGTTCATCAGGATATTTCCTGTAGCCTGACAACAGGCTCACGTCTTTGCCAACTTATAAATCCCTTTCCCTAAGCTATGGGACCTAATTTAGTGACCACCTCCTCCTACCTAGCATCCCCTCACAGCCAACTTTCTTCAAGAGTCATCTACACATTGGGTCCCCATTTTCTCTCTTTGCATTCATACTTCAACCACTGTGGTTTATTCTCCAATGAGTCCACCTGCCTTCGGTCACCAATGAAAACTGATTTGATTCTATCTGGATACCACCACATCATGTCCTGTGGAGTCCCCTTTTATCTGATCACATCATTTTTGATTTGTTGTTGATGATTATGATATTTTGAAACTAGGGCTCCTTTTCTTTTCCTTCAATATTAAAATCACATTATGTGATATATTAAAATAATCTTATCACATATATTAAAATCATCTTATAATTCACCATGACCTTTAATAGGGCCACCATCTCCTGGTGCCCTCAGCAAGAGTCTCTGACCTCTCCTGAAAGTGGAAATCCCATTCTCACCCCTTCTCCTCCTGAGAGAGCTGCTTTGAATATGGTCAGTTTTCCAGAAGCCAGAATCCACTAGCTGTGAAAGATGGGAGAGTTCGGCCTCATCCTGTCTATGGCCACTGATGAGAGGTAACTGACATCAGGACACTCCCTTGGCCATGTTGCCGTGAGGATACTTTAGGCAGTAGAGTGTGAGAGTGAGTGTGGGAGAAGGGGGAGCTGAGCTCAATCTGTGTTAGAATGAGCTTCAGCTGGGACTCAGCATTTGGGAAGGGAGAGGACAAGGACTCTGAGAGCCGATTGTGTTCCCAGCACCCACCATCACACCCAGGCATGCAACTGACACAGATGCTTCTGCCCACAGGGAGTCTGAACCCAAAGTGTGTGATCAGGAACTGTGCATTTTGAGGCTGGTGAAGGAGGGAAAGATGCAGATAAAACTCAACCTCATGTTCTTAGGGTTTTGTGTCTGCAGTTTTGTTTGTGATTCTGCTGTTGCCTCATAGGACCTTAACATGGAGTTATGGGTAACCTTGGTTAAGCATCTGTGGCTGATGAGTTGCTGAGGATGCTTAAATGAATAAGGATGGTTAGGATTAGGGTTGGACTTGGCCAGTGCTATCAATACTCCAAGATGAACAAGTTGGATTATTTTCCCTGTACAAGACTGTCTCTGTATCTGCCAATAGCAACTTTTCAGCCAGTCCATGCTTGGAAGTGCCTCTGTGTGGTAGGATGGACAGTAAGAAATATACATACATTTCCTTGGATAGGCAGAACAGGAAAGGTTGCACATTATGGTTATTTTCCTCTCATTTCTCTCTCAGGAGAAACAGACACCCCTCTCTACCCCCATCTGCCTCGCTGAGCTTTGCTTACTCCTGTCTTTTTTCTCAAAAATCAGCTGCTTTGTCTTATATGCCATCACCATGCCCTTCTTCAGAGTCAGTCCCTTCTCCTTCTTTCTGAAAATCTTTCCTTGACCTTGACCCTGAGGAGAGAAACCAGACAATACAGTATTAAATGCATGTCATTGTAAAGGTCAGATGGCTCTAGAAAGCTCATGAGGAAAAACACCAGCATTCCCTGCTCTCATCCTCCCTACTGCTGCCTTCCGATTTCCAATCACTGCTTTTCTTCCTTGTTTCAACCTGTTCTCATCTTCCCATTTCTCAATTTCATGTTGATATTGCAATGTTTTTCTTTCTTTCCAGATTTAAGTATATCTATTTATTCTCTTTTTGATTATGATGAATTTGTTTTCCTTCTCTTCCCTCATTCCTTATTTCCTTTCTATCTTCCTAAAATATTCATATCTCAAAGTTTAAGTTAATATTCACTGTTTATACTTGGGGAAAACTGCTTTTCTCCACTCCCAACCTTTCCTTTATCAGCTAATGTGATGTCCCTGTGCCTTCTCTGTCTCTTTACTCATTCTCTCCAGAGCAGATGGGGGACACATTTTTTTGAGACCTTGTACATCTAAAGGCATTTTTTATTTTACCTCTCATATATGATATTTTGACTGGGCATAGAATTGAAGGCTGGAATTCTCTGGAATATGACTTTATTTCCCTTTTAGAAATATCTATGGTTTTCTTTTTGGGGTAAATGTTCTATAAATTCACACTTAACGTTTTGTGGTATGAATCTATGTTGACTTATGAAATCATGCCTTCAGTGGACACTTTCATTCTGGAAACACATTCTTTTGGGTCTCAGAACCTTCCTTGTATTTTTTCCTGAAAGATTTTCCCCATTGCATTATATCTTTGTTCTCCCCTTCAGGAACTCCTATTATTCAGGAGTAGTTAAATCTCATTGACTGATCCTCAAGTTTGTTTTGTTTTGTTTTAATTGAGACAGGGTTTCATTCTATCTTCCAGGCTGGAATGCAGTGGCACAATTACGGCTCACGACAGCCTCAACCTCCCAGGCTCAAGCAATTCTCCCACCTCAGCCTCCCAAGTAGCTGGAACTACAGGCATGTGCCACAGCACCTGGCTAATTTTTTGTTTATATTTTGTAGAGACAAGGTCTCACTATGTTGCCCAGGCTGGTCTTGAACTCCTGAGCTCAAGTAATCCACCTGTGTCAGCCTCCCAAAGTGCTGGGATTACAGACATGAGCCAGTGTGCCTGGCCTCCAAATTTTTTTATGAATATTCTCCTGTCCTTTTGCTTACTCTTTCCTGGAAATTTCTTTGATTTTGCTTTTTGACTCTTCTATTTAAGAAAAAGAATAATAAATTTCTACTATCTGTTTTTAATTTATAAGAGCCATAAATACCCTTTTTACAGAGCATTATTCTTTCATGGAAACAAAATATCATCTCTTTAGGGGGATCAAGTATTTCTTACCTCCCTACGTCATCTTTGTTTCCTCCAATTTCCTGATTTCAAAGTGTTTTTGTTTTGTGTTTTAGGCTTTCCTCAAGTGTCTGTGATTTTTTTTCTGTTTTACAAACGAGTGAAGCAGGAAAGCTGTTAAGCGTGCATTGGCAGGGTATGTTGAGTAGAGGTTTCACTTTGGGGCAACCAGGCAGGGATTAAGCTTATCTCTTTGGAGTCCCCAGTTGTTGGGGTTTTTTTCAGTTATTTCTTTTGTACTGGTTAACTTTCCTAGGAAATAGTTCTTTAATCTCCTGCCTAAGCTGTGTGTTGTGGGAGTGGAAAAGGTAGGGAAGCGATGCCTGCAGCTCAGTAGGGAAAAGGGCTCCATGTCCTCACTCCCATTGAGGACATGCACTTATTCCCCTTTTGCAATATGGCTTCTCACCCCAACCCATCATTGTAATTAGTCTCTCTAAATCTAGAGCCCACAGTGAATAAGTTTTTCAGAAGGTTTTCTGCCAGAGTGGATGAGGGTAGGTGCCTGGCTGTGCAGAGGTGGGAATGGATTTGGGCTCTGAATGTTCTTTATAAAGATACCCTAAAATGATTATTACACATTGTATGCCTGTAACAAAATATCTCATGTACCCCATAAATATTTATATCTTCTATATATCCATAAACATTTTTTAAAAATTTAAAAAGATTTCCAATCAATATTTCTTACTTTCAGTCCCACCTATACCCTATCTTCAGAGGTAGCTAGTGCCTCCAATTGAACATTTTGGGGATTCTTGTTTCTAAAATTACTCCCCTGCTGCAGGTGGCAGTCCACTATTCCTGCTTTCCAGGGTCTGTTACCATTTGTCTACTTTTTAGTAGTAATTCACTGGCATTAGGAAAGTTAGTACACATATCAGGTTTTTTTCTTTAGTTTCTAAAGCTTTTAAGTGAGGACCAATTACGCAGACATAGTTCAAAAGCACACTATAACACACACAAACGTTATATGTCTTTCACCCATACTTGATCTGAATATTTGATAAATGAATTTATTCATATTAAAAATATGATACTTGGTTATTGTGAATGACTCATATAAGTCACATGTACTTGAAGATACTTTGATTTCACTCCTTGAAACATTTATCAGGTTTTCTTAGAGCTTAAAGTACTTTGATAACTGGGATTTGGTGTTAGTGGTCCCTCATTTCTTCCAGCCATAAAACTAGACTGTATATAACACAGCAGCCACACATCTAGATTCTGCTGAATTTATCATTTAACCAAAGCAAAACACAATATTAAATAATTAAATATATTTCTGATTTTTGTCAATACTGCATGGCCCCCTGTATTAAAACACTGTAATGGAAGCTATTAGGATATACTCTCAGATCAGAAGTCAGGATACACTGACATGTGAGAAGTGGGAAATAATGACTCCACCCCTTGTAATCCCTGGGAATGAGTCCAGAGCCCCCTGGAAAATGAAGCTTAATTGACAGGACTGGCTGTACCTTTTTGTATTTCAATCCCACTTCAGGACAAATTTATACCTTGCCATAAGTAATCCAAAGAGAAGCCTTCCCAAAAAGATTCATACTACTGTTGCCGCACAGCACAGTATCACTGATCAGTTCAACAGCGTCTGTCACCACGTACAGGTTGCCCCCTCTCCTCCGACAGCCCTTCAGATATTCCGGCTCTGGATGCAACAGTTTCCTGGGGATTTAAGGAAGGAGGAGGAGAGTCAGAGTGGGAAAGAGATGCCTTTTCAGGTTACCCTGGGTGCCCTTCTCCTCAAGAGCTGGGAGGGATGCAATGCTTTTAGACCTTGGTAGGTGGGTCACCAATGGGTGTTCAAGTACCTAGGGCAGCAGAATGTTTTACCTGACATACAGGATGGAGAAGATTCCATTGATGGTGGTTCAGGTGTGAGAGTATATGTATCATATTGTTAAAGGCATCTATATTTTACTAAATTATACCGGTTTTGTTAAGGTATAATTTATAGAATTTCAGCACTAGGGTCTCTAAGAAAAAAAAGGGCTAGAAGCAGAAAGGTCCAGATAACTGAGAACGGTCCTTAGGAGGTCCTGTTGTGAAAGCTGAGTATTCAAACCAAATGTGTCCATTAGCACAATCAGGGGGGCTGGGGAGCAGATAAATAAAGTGGGATGAGGCAAGGAGGACTCTGGATGATTTCATGACCATTACAGATTTATTGTCCTTGGTGGGTAGATTGGTAGGGCTGAAACTGATTATGTAGTTTCCAGGGATATCTGAATGGTTTGAAGGACTGAAGATAGATTTCATCTCTATTTCAGTTCTGAGGCTCAACCTTGATTCTACTCAAGGCAGCCATTCAGCGTCCTATACAAAAGTAATGTGAAATATTGAGGGACTCTTAATTTTCTTTTCAGTGGAAGAGGTTACTGAGCACACAATATTAGGTTTTCCTCATTGCTGTTGTAGTAAAATTCAAGCTTCTTACCATGTCCTCAGATGCTATGTTATCTGACATCTACTTATCTTCCAGGTTTCATGTTGTATCTCCTTTATCCTGGTTGTCTAAGCTTCCAACTCACTGACCTCGCCCCTTATCCTGAAAACACCAAGCTCTATTTTACCCCAAGGGTATTAAACACCTCACCAGGACCCCTTTCTTTCTACTTTGCTTGCTTTTTATTCTGTACATGTCAGTTCAACTGTTAAATCCAAAGAGAGACCTAAACGGACTCCCTTCCTTCCACCCAGTCTCTTTTACCTCATCCTTTTTATTACTATCCGAGCACCCCAAAACATTTATAGGTGAAAACACATTACACATCCCTCATCCCATTTATTAAAACCATCTCACTACCTTTTCTTTTTTATGTAAAGGTTTTAGTTCTGGCTTGTTTCTCTTGGTGCTGGCAAATAATATTTACTTGTGAAATTACAGGCTCTTTAAATACTGAAATATATACCTCTGTGAGAAAAATGCTTCTCTTTCTGTGAGCTACAGAAATTCAGATGCTGTTTTGCACCATGAACAGTCTTTACAAATGTTACCTCTAATTCTCACAAAAAAAAGGCATACAGAAATTGTGGAATGTCAAAGTAACTTTTAGGCTTTCAACATTCTGTGATTTTAGTTACTTGCTTACTTAATAGTTTTTTGCCTTGATAGAAATATTATTTAAATTTACATATCTGTTTCTACCATACATGAAGACTTACTTTTGTTTAGCCCTTAATGGATCATTGGATATCCATCTTTCCCAACGTACAAGAAGGTAAATTAAATCCCAGGACAGAGGTGGCATATGCAAGAAGGCAGAATGAGAGGTCCTTGGCTATATACAGCTACTGCTCGACTTACGACCACGATTGGTGCTGACAGACTGGTCGTAACACGATTTGGTCGTAAGTTGAGTAGGCTATATGCACGCAGAGATGGTAATGCTGCCGGAAGCTGGTCCGCACTGCCGTACACCCAGCTGGGCAACGTTTGCACTGCCAGACGCGGAGCAGTTGTGGCTAGCGCTTGTGGCTGTAAAGTCGAATGGTCGTAAGTTGCATAGGTCGTAAGTCGATCAATACCTGTACTACCTCACAGAAAGTTCAGTTAGTAATTATCCATAGACAAAAATGCTCTTGTAAAAATTCCAGAACCCAAGGGTGAGGCTGAAGCACCCCCTTTAAACACACACACACACACACACACACACACACACACACATACACAGCCTCATTAGAACGGTAAGAGCAATAGTTTCACTTTGCAGTAACACATCTCCCCCAAGTGCCATCACAAAATAGATGGAGTTCCCCTGGGCCCATGACTTCTTCAGTGTGAAAAAGAAAGCCAAAGTGGATATCCAGCTTCAAACAACATTCCAAAGTCCATAGGAGCTATGTCCCATGTCACAGAGAACACTGAGGGAATTGGCAGGACTAGACCACCTGGGGTCATCTAGAAGCAAAGAAGTGGTCAAGGCTTCAGCAGTCACTGCATGGATCTTGGCAGTGACACTGCATTCCTACTAGCAGTGGCACCCAATCAGAGAAACTAGCCAGCAGCTTGCCCACCTGCAAACCAAAGCCAACAAATTTGTCTGGCCAGGAAGTATGGTAGGCAGTGTCTGTTTGGCTTGCATCCTTAGCAAGTGGAACAGCCTGGCTGTGGATGCCAGCCTCAGAGCCCAGCCTAAGTTTCTTGCAAGACAGGAAAGCCAGCCAGCAACCCTGCCTAACAGTGGAGCACAGCCTCTAGCCCCAACTGACCAACGATCCTCCACAACAATTCTGCTCAGCCTCAGGCCCAGCCTAAGACTTTGCCCAAATACGGAGGCCGGCCAGCAACCATACCTAACTGCAGAGCACTGCCTCTGGCCTGGCCTGACCAGGAAGCCCAAACAGTGACCGTTCCCAAGTTCAGAGCCCAGCCCCCAGCCCCACTCAAGCAGGAAGTCCAGCTGGTGACTCTGCCTAACTGTGGAGCACAGTCTCTTACCCTGCCTCATGAAGGATCCTGATCAACAACCCAACACAGGCTTGAAGCTCTGACTACAACCGCATTCAAATGTGGGACACAGGCTACAAACCCAGCCAATGTGGGAGTTCATAGTGACCCTGACTGACCATGGAGCAAAGTGAGTAGTCCTACCTAGATCAGGTTCCCAGCCAGTGACCCAGCACCAACACATGGTGCTGCCTGTGCCCCTACCCAAACATGGAGCCCAGCCTGTGGCCTGCCCAACTACAAAGCACATCCTGAGACCACCACCGATTACAAAACCTAGTCTATGGCTCCATCTGAACGTGACAGTCGGCAAGCAGTGCACCCAGTCAGGGAGCACTTCATGGGTCCCCATCCAACCAAGGGTGATATCAGAGCCCAGCCTGAAGCCCTGTCCAATATATAGTTTAAACAACAGTACCACAAAGCCAGGAGCACAGGCTGCAACAACATCTGACAAGAAGTGATTGTGCAGTCCAGCCAGCAGCCCTACTTGACCACAAAGCCAGTCAAAATCCCCACCCTACAAAGGAGCCCAGCCAGTAGCCCTGCCTGAATGCAGAGTCCAACTCTTCCTGACCACAGAACCCAGCCAATGATCCAACCCAACCATGAAGCACAGACAGCAGTTCCACCTCAGGGTGCAGGCAGTGGCCCCACCGACTAGAGAGCATAAACAGCCACACTTAATCATGAACACTAACAGCCAGTCCATGTAGAACCCAAAGTTAAACTGACTGGTGAAGGTCTGTCTCCACTGATATGAACTGTTAAGGCTGGAAGAGGTGGCTGCTGCCTCAAAAGCACAGAAAGAAATGCAAGGGTACAAAGATTATGAAGTATCAAGAAAACACCACCAAAGGAATCTGATAAAGCTCCAATGACTGACTCTAAAGAAATGGAGATCTATAAATAAACTGAAAAAGAATTCAGAAGTTCAATGAACTACAGGTATTGATCGACTTATGACCTATGCAACTTACGACCATTCGACTTTACGACCACAATCGCTAGCCACGACTGCTCCACATCTGGCAGTGCAAACGTTGCCCAGCTGGGTGTACGACAGTGTGGACCAGCTTCCGGCAGCACTACCATCTCCACATGCACATAGCCTACTCAACTTATGACCAAATTGTGTTACGACCAGTCTGTCGGCACCAATCGTGGTCGTAAGTCGAGCACTAGCTGTACAAGAAAAAATAGATAGACAACTAAACAAAATTAAGAAAACAACACACAAAATTAGTTCCACAAAGAAATAAAAACCATTTTTTAAAAATCCTAAAGAATATAGTAACTAAACTGAAAAAATTTAGGAAAGTTTCAACAGCAGATTCAATCAAGGAAATGAAAGAATTAGTGGACTCAGCAAAAATTTGAAATTATCCAGTCAGAGGAATAAAAAGAAATCAGAATGTAGAGTGAAAAAAACTTACGGCACTTATGGGACACCATCAAGTGAAACAAAATATAATATTCTTCAGAAATATAAGAGAGTGAAGAAGAGATATAAAGCTTATTTGTAGAAATAATGACACCCAGATGCAGTGGCTCACACTTATACTCCCAGCACTTTGGGAGACCAAAGTTGGAGGATCACTTGTGTCCAGGAGTTCAAAATCAGCCTGAGCATAATATTGAGACCACATCTCTCCCAAAAAATAAATATTTAAGCAGGTTGATGACACACACCTGTAGTTCTAGCTAATCAGGAGACTGAGGTGGCAGGATTACTTCAGCCCAGGAGGTAGATGTTGCAGTGAGCCAAGCTCATGCCAGTGCACTCCAGCCTGGGTAACAGTGCAAGATCATTTGGAAAGGAAAGGGAAAAGGAAAAGGAAAGGGGCCTCCCAAATTTTGAGACAGAAGTGGGCATCAAGATTTATCACACTAAAAATTTCCCAATAGGTTGAACCCAAAATGGTCTACACCAAGACACATTATGATTAAATTTTCAAAAGATAAAGAGAAAATATTGAGAGTAACAAGAGAAAAAGCTACTCATAACATGCAGAGGAGTATCTATGAGACAATCAGCAAATTTCTTAGAAGAAACCTGACTAGGAAAGGATGATATATTCAAGATACTTAAAGAAAAACTTCTGTTTTGGTCTGTTTTCTGTTGCTATAAGAGAATACGTCAAACTGGCTAAATTATAAATAACTGAAGTTTATTTGGATCATGATTCTGGAGGCTGGAAAGTTCTCAGAGCAT